CGGGCGGCGTAGCGTTAAAATTAGGGAAGAGGAGCTCCTGAACCAGACAATGAGTCAATGAGTCAACCCCTCTGGGCCGATGGCTAGTTCTGCAGACCGACACCCCCCCTCCCCGCAATGTCTCTTTGCAGGATCCCTTAGTTCTGATTTCAGGTGCTGCAAGGATACCACTATGCGAGAGTAACACCAACACCCTACACCCGCAATGGTGGGTGTGCCGTTGAACCAGTTGGGCAGCTCATGGCCCTTGTGACATTTCCCGCCTGCCGCAGCATCGATGCACCTCAAACACACGAACAGACCAAATTCTAAGCAGCTCTTCCAATGACACACTTGGCTCAGATGACTGACCATCTCTGTTTGTGCGACTGAGCAGGTGCACGAAGAAACACAAGCACACCAGAAAGAATGTAATTGTTCTGCTGTAGCGGTTGCAAGCTGCTGAGGCTTAAGGAGCCAGCTTGACTCCAGCACGGTCTGCAACATGCCGGAAAACTCGGAGATATACCTGGCTGCTGCGCGCGGCTACTTGGGAGGCATCAGCGGAAAGTGTCGGGGCACCGGTTGGTGACCAAGAAGCTGAATCGCGTGCCTTTGCGACTTCAGACATGAAAAGCAAGCGTTAAGGGCTATTGGCAACTCGCTAAGTATGACATGTAAGCAGAGGTTTCCTGGTTCCTTAGAATAAGCTGCTGCCGCGAGGCTGTCAGAGACCTCGCAACATGACACGATTTAACTTCACACGCACATACGACATATACTCCACCGCCGTCTGCTTGCGCGCTCAAGCTTGTGACGCAATCCCGGTGCAAAATGCCGGTCGGCAAGAGCAGGCCTGCCTTCTTGAAGGACTTCAAGGCCTGTCGGGTTTGTCAATCTCCGAAGGAGTTTTGCAGTCAAGAAACTATCCTAAGGTTCTGAAGGGATCCAAAAACGACTGCACGAATGTGAAATCAAGGACGACTCAACCCAACTCAGAAAGCCGCGTAAGAGTACAAGCTCGGTCTTTCTTAGTGGACGAGTATAGCGTTGGGTCAAGACAACTACTGTTCGCCACAGCACCAGATGAATGCCAAGTCACATAGGTTTGGGCTGGTAACGCGAAAGCATAAACACGTTGAATCAGTACAGCTGACTAGCATAATCTTTACTGTCAGTAGGCTCAGATTCAGCAGTTTGCCAACACACCACTCGCACAAAAAAACAACTCAGCATGCAAAACATGGCGCAGCAGCTGCGACGACTTGGAGATCCGGCAGAATCTGGCATGGCTCGGCATATGTATCGTACTCTCGTATGTCACCGGCAAGGGACTCGTCTCTGCTGCTCGTCCGTGTGCATGAACTCCGGACGAGGGCTCACCTGAGCAGCGAAGGAAGGGGCACGCTTGCTGGGCTGACAGTACCCAGCTCCGCACCCGGAAGATCTTCAGCACACCCACAACGAAGTCAGGAAGGGTCAAAAAGTTATGTCCCATGACCTGAGCTTGGAAGCTCTGCAAAGCGCAATTCAGCACACCTGAAAGGTTGCTCACATTATGTGACAACAGCTGTATGCTCTCGTAGGCACATCAATCTCTCTGAAGATGACCTCAGCTCCGCGAGAAGCGATGACCAGGCAAAAGTAGCACTCGGCCGCAAGAAACCAACATGCAACAGTCAGTCGATCATCGCCGGGTCGCATCAGCCAGTGAGTCGGCTATCTTGCCTTGTCAAACGACGCAGCACATGTCACTGCCATGCAGATTAATTGTGTTTGAGTGGGTGCTTGCTACATTTTTGTGCCGTCTGTGGTCTCTATCTACTGTCTAGTGCGTGGTCCAATGCGAGCTGCGAGAGACGAGACCACCCTTTAGGAAAGGTGGGAAAGGGGGATGACAAGCTGGACGAGCAACACAAACCTTTGAACAGCGTCTTCCAAATCAAGCCCCATGTCTGCACTAGCCGAAGCTTGAGAGGGGCAGGGAAATGATCGCGAATCGCAACCGACGAGGGTACCAGGTTGCCAAAAGCATGACCGTGGCATGAAAGAATGAGTGGGGTGCTCTCACAACGAAGACTCCAATTCTGCAGTGCGCAACAATGGGGGTCCAGCCTGTCTCTCCCCCGGAGATCAGGTTATGAAATGGAGGATGCCTGACCTGGAGGTCCCGAAAATCATCGATCCTGAGTATCTTGTCAACGTGGACTCCTACATCCGACACGTTGTGCCACTCTGAAGCTGCAGCCAGTAAACGAGATAAATCGCTCTTTGCTGTTTCCCACCATGTCCTCGCACACACGGCCATCTGTCAGCTGTTTCAAGTTGCCATACATGTGCAGATGCACGTCCAGACATAGAGTCCCCCGTACGTACATCTACGGTAATTTTTTATTTCGGTACCGGTGTAAGTTGTAAGTATGGAGATGTATGCGATGTATACGTATGAGCACGTCCACATATGTAGTAACTTGCACGTACGAGTAGATTCTGAGTAGATGGGCATGTGCGTGTGTACATGTCACATCATCTTGACACATCACATGGTGGACATCCGAATTGGGCTAAAGGCGGCAACAACCCTTCAGCTGCTCAATGAAGGGAAGCAAGCATCCCTCGGACTGCACCGTGTCCTCAAAGAGATCGATCAGCTCAGCAGCGCTCATCGCGGAATCCGCACCTCAGCCAAAAGCCATACAGGGTACTGAGTACTGCAGAAAAGAATCGCTTCTCCTCTCCACGTGCCTTGCTGTTAAACTAGCGGCTAGACTCGCGAGACTTCTCTAAGCGGGGCGGCAACCAAAAGGCAGACGTCGCTGCTTCCACAGGAAAAGCAGCTTTTCGGAGACATGGAGCGGGCTTCAGCTATCTTCTTCTGCTGGTGCTTCGCATTGCCCTCTCTGAGCGCCGAGATGAAGGTGCCCAGCACCATCCTTACCAAGCAACAGGAGCCTTTCGCAGCAAGGGGCAGCCCTTTGTCCACAAAGCTTGTGCCCAGGCGCGGCCACAGCCAGCAGAGGCACAGAGCTGCATAGGCCAAGATGATGCCTCCTGCAACCTTTGAACGCAGCGCAACCGTACAAGAGGTCCGTTAGCCGACGCGGGATAGCCACTCAAATGGCATCTTGAGCGCTTTGCATTCCAACGTAGACTCTCCGCCAGGAGCAGTTTCCAAACGATTCCTGGGCCCCAGTAGATCAATCTCCTCAGAGAATTTCCGGACGTGTCAAACTTACCAGCTTGTCCACAACTTGCGTGAGCATACTTGCATATGACTTCCCCTGCCGAGGCACAGTGGAATCCTTAGATGAGGGAGAAATCCTCTTTGGACGATTTGCCCGTAGTTCGAACTTTGAACAGTCTACATATGCGATCGAGCATAGTTGAATACTGGATTACCGGATGTGGGTGGGGGGTGATCTTCAGTTCTGACGATGGCAAACTTGTTGTTGCGAGGGCACCACACTCTGAGCACACCAATCGAAATCTCTCACCAGGAGGTTGCCATGTCATCGAAGGCTCATGTTGAGGATCAGAAGGGAACCGCCCATTCCACGAAGGATCTCTTCCTGGGCGAGACATTGCATCACTGGGGACTGCAATCAACGTACGCACGGCTCGCTTCTCTGATGGAGCCGAGGTGCAATGCGCAGGGGATACGTGGGACCTGCAGACGTTCTGCTCTGAACAGGGTGCATCAGAGCACCGTTGACACAACGAAAGCCGACAACTCTTCGAGTCGGCCTGACTCTACCAGCGCTTGAAGAATGGGATCCTGACAGCTCCAAAACACAACGGACTCCCTTAAACGCTTGTGTCGCACGCCCCTTTGGGGACGGGAAGAGTAGAGAAGCAACGCCACGCCCGTCTTTGTCCGGGCCGGGTCGGGAATAAGGACATACCACACAACACAACTGCACATACCTGCAGCGCCTTGGAAGGATAGTTTGGATATGCTTGGACGCTTGCATCATGGAATTTGGAATGAAATGGCGTCCAGCATTGCAGAGTCCTCAACAGTCGGCAGCTCGGTGTATCCGGAGGCCCCAACCACGACCTTGTCACGTTCACTAGGTACCCACTTTAGAGGAGCCAAAATCGGCATGTCCATGCAGGCGAAGGGCCGTAAGCATCACCGCCGTACACCAACCCACCGTGCCTGAGCATCACCGTGTCGCTACGAGACTGTTCTCCTCGCACACTTCGAGCAAGAAAATCTCATCCAAGCAGCTCCATATCGCCAACCTGTGGAAGAGCCGAGCTCTCAGGGATTCATGATGCCCGCAGCATCAGTTGTGCCTTTACTTTGCTTCTGAGGGGCATCCAGCCAAGCCGGGCAACTGTCTCAGCAACCACTTGCGCAACCAATGGATACTCCCTGGCAGCTTCATGGAAAATCTTTGAGGCCCTCTAGTCTCTGACAACTCGGCACAGATCTCCCGTCCTGATCGATGCGAAGACCCTGAGATGGGGAAAGTTCTCGGAGACTAATCACGGAGCCCTCGATTCGGACCCGAATCCCTGCCGCCGAGCATCGAAAAAATTCGTCCCACTCGGAGAATCCGGAGCCTCAATGGTGACAACGACTATCTGAGACGCTCGTTGGAGCTGTGAAGTTGCAGCAGATGGCCCAAGGCTTTGGCATGCGAATCGCCCGGCTGGACCTCAACGAGGAGCATTTTCGCATTAGCCCCTTGGGCCCTCTGAGTCTGAGTCGATGTCTCTGTGCTTCTTACGATCGCCCCGGGCCTTTTTTCTGGGCCCCCGGCCGGAAGATCCCGAGGCTGTTGAAGTGTTCCAGGAGGAACTCGTCGGAGAAGGCAATGGCGGAAACCTCAGACGTTCCGAGCTCAAAGGTTAGAATCAGGAGGAACACCAAGGGCAGCCTCGGTCACAGCAATGCAACCACAACGCTCATGGTGCTAGATGGTACGGTTGCAAGTCTTGTCGTTCCTCGCACTGTTGTTCTGGACTGCACTTACACCACCCAGGATCTATCAGGATCTAATGCATGTCGATTCTCACAGCATCAGAAGGAGGATTCGGAGGCCCTCCCTCCCCCTGCAGCTCTGGAGCACACGGAAGGAGTGAGGGGAATATGGCACCCTGAAGCTCCAAAGCCCTCAGCCCCGGAACCCAATGTATAGCGGCCTTAGGGAGCCATGGGGGCAAAACTCCGCTCCGACAACTCTCAGTGCATACTGGCGTCGACCACGTCGGTGACCAGCCAGCCATCGAGGTAGAACCTTCAGGGATCTCTGGTGCTGTCACGTGGGGCGTCTTAGGCATGAACCCAACTCTTTAGCCACGGGAGGCCGAGGCAGACAAGCAGCGGTTGGACTGGACAGCCAATGACGCCTCAAAGAGGCAGAAGCTCAGGCTTAGCACCGTTTGAAAAATGCTTGCATCAGATTCTGTTTTGACCTTTGCCCTGTAGTCTACCCCCTTGCAAGCTTGGCTGCGTAGGACCACTTCCAAGACGTACAGGCCGATCAGGACTTTCATGACAGCCTCGCATGTTACATCCCCTTTCTTAGGCATCCTAGGAAAGAATGGAAGCACCATGCCTGTTCAAAGCGAGTTTCAAGCGTGATGCAACGGTCTCTTTATGACGAGTGACTGCTGCGTTGCATACAACGCGACACGCGACTAAGGAGCTTGCAACGGCTACCACGCGATTGGATTTGTGACACGGCGGCTCTCTTTATTTGGCTTCAGGTCGTCGGTCAAAACACAATTTCGGGGCGGGGATGGGCTACGATTAGTTGCATGGTCTCTGGGTGGACGTATCCAGCTACCGATGGGAGCAAAGCATGAACCCGGGTTGCAAGTTGTACTGTTGCGAAGCCGGCTGCCAGCAAGATCACAAGCAACAAACGTTCTTCAAAGGCCGTGCGGCATCGATTGCATCGCTGACTGCTTGAAGCGTCACATCCTGACGATTGGCGGTGTCGTACGACTGCATGTGCCCGCAGGAGAAACTCAAAGCAAATGCCATCTCCAAACTGCGAAGGCACACGGCCGGGCCGTCATTGGCCGCACTCTGCTGAGCTACTGCTGAACTCCACTCAAGGCCTCTGGATCTCGCAGGGTGCCGGCGGCCCTTGGAGCAGCGCAGGCTCGAATCTCATCATGCATCTCATCATTCGGCTTAGGCAGATGTCTGCACAGGCAGCGGTCTTTTCGGCTTCACACATAGGTGGCTCGAAGCTACAGAGGGCTTGCTGACGGGGTGCACGTTTGCATGGACGAGTACCTCAGATGGCGTCCACAGGAGCCAACATGGAGATGTCTGCCTTGCTTCGACGCCTCGTCACCATTCAGCCGTCAATACAGACACCCTCACCGTCACTAGCTCTATCGCTACAATTGCTTCACTGGGTCTATATCTGCGAGTTTTGCTAGCACTGGTACGGCTACTTGCGCTGTTGCCAGTAAGACTACGGGACTGCTGAAGCCCGCCTTGCGAAGAGTTTAATGTCCACCATGACTATTGTTGCGACGGCTGTTTCGACACCTAAACTTCGCAAACCCAAAACGACGACGACGACGACGACCACCGTTGCTCCTTGACAGTACTAGTACTACTCCTACTCCCAACAACTACTCTTTTTACTGCCACTCCTGCCCCTACCTCTACTACTCCAACTCCTACTCCTACTCCTGCTACTGCTACTACTACTACTACTACTACTACTACTACTACCACTACCACTACCACTACCACTACCACTACTACTCCCATTCCCCCTCCTACAGCTACTGCTGCTGCCACTGCCACTGCTACCGCTACTGCTACGCTGCTGCTGCTGCTGCTGCTGCTGCTGCTGCTGCTGCTGCTGCTGCTGCTGCTGCTGCTGCTGCTACTGCTCTTCCTACTCCTACTCCTACTCCTACTCCTACTCCTACTCCTACTCCTACTCCTACTCCTCCTCCTCCTACTACTGCTACTACCACTACAACTACCACTACCAATACCACTACTACTACTACTACTACTACTACTACTATTATTACTACTACTACCACTACTACACCACTACTACAGCGACAGTTGGATACAGCGGGATGTGTCGACGAGGGCGACGCTACTTGATTGGTTCTAGTGCTCCATCAACCTCCAATAGGTCCAAAATGCCAGAAGCAGCGTGAAAAGAGCTGCCATGTGGCAGAGCACCTAGCCACGATTTGCAGGAGGCAGTGCAGTGCACTTGACTGGCATAGGGATAGGAGCACTTATTTTGCGCCATCGATTTGTGCCGGGACGAAGGTCAGCTCAACGCATGATGCTGCAATAAGCTGATTTTGTGGCTTTGGTTCGAAAATGCTGGGTTGGTGGTACTTCCTATCCCTCCAGAAAGCAATGCCCTACACGTTCTGTCTGCATCGGCCCCGCCTGCATGCCGTCATTGTGCATCAAACGGAAGCCTAGACAAAGAGGAGTTCGGAATGCGCAGCTAATCTCTGCCTTGGGATCTTTTCTCGACATATCGATCAGGCACCATGCTTGAATACCCCAAACAACCGACGATGGTGGTCCAGCAGAACATGAGCAGAGGGACTATAACGATGATGGTCATGACGCTGATGATGATGACGAGGAGGAGGAGGACTATGGCGACAACGGTGGCAACTAGCACGAGGAGGATTAGTTGACGGAATTGATAATGGTGAAGATGATGAAGAATAAGGAGGATTATGGTAGCGATGGTGGTGCTGATGAGTGCGGCGAAGATGTTCATGGCGATCAGGAGAACGTTGAGGATGATCATGAGGATGAGGACGAAGCGATGGAGGATTAAGAACACCAGGATCATCCGTCAGCACCACCGAGCCTTCATCCTCATCATCCTGACCTTTGACTTAATCGGGATTCATCTGTTTGCAGATCAAGCGGCACATGCCTCGGATTCCGCGATCCACCTGCAGGACACACTAGTGATCAACTCCGAAGCTCACACCAGAGGCAACCCCAACACAGCATCTGTTTCCTTCTAGTGTACTGATTCGCGTCATCGGGTGAGTCGATGTTTGGAACTCATACAATCAGACCAATGCTGCGAATCGTGTCACCGGTACGGCCCTATCGGCTCTTATGGGTGTTGTTGCCTTCCAGTTCAACAGCATGGGTGCTCCGATGATCTTTTCCCTGATCTTCTCCCTGATAGTGCTCAGTCTTTACTGTCGCCGGCTTCTTTCAACAGGCCCCCTGTGCCCCAAAGCATAGTGGCATCATGATTGATCACCGGTGCGATGGCGTGGGCATATTCGTATCCCAATCCAATGACCCGTGACGGCATCAGCAGCATGCAGGCAACAACAATCGCCGCACTCTGTAGCTCGACGCCAAAACGGACGACCCGTCTTTTTCGTCGTGTGGTAAGAAGCGCTGCAGCGCCGTTCGGCATGCAG